GGTGGTGGTGGTGATAGTGGTGGCGGCGGCGGCGGAGATGGGAGGAGGAGGAGGAGGGGGAGGAGGAGAAGCAGAAGCAGCAGCAACAATAAGAGCAGCGACATCATCGTCATCAGCATCGTCGGAGCCCGCGAATCGGATTGGCAACAACGCGCCGTCACCTCGACATGAATACTGTACGGGCCTTAATAATTAGAATCGGATTTTGGGGGTAAATTATAGTATAATTACACTAAGGATCGCTAAGGAATGATAGATAGTGGTAGTTATTTAGGCTTCTATCGTATCAAAACCAACAACCAGGCTAAGAGCAGGCAGGCGGCATCAAGCCCCACGCATCCGGAGAAGGCTCCGATGTTGAATCCTGGCCACTCACGGCTATCTCCTGCTATTGTCGCCAATATTAGGACTCCTGTCACTAATGGTCTCAGAGCCGATCTGAGAAACCATGAACTGCTCTACATCAGGCTGTGCTTGCGATGTGCATAGTCGTGTTGTTGGGCTGGTGTTGCTGAGCACACGTAGGATTACTATCATCTAAGTGGTCGCAATTGTCGCAATAGACAAGATAGTCTCTAATATGCTGATACGAAGTGGGCAGGAGAGTTTAGCGTGGGGCTTCTGGCATGGCTGAACTACAGATCTCATAATTCAGGGTCGGCCACCTTGAAATAATCGAGTCAGTCTGCACAACTGGAAATCCCTGACTCCAGAAACACCCAGGCCGTCCCTGCCAAACCCTGAAGCTCTCGTTTAGGGTTTACACTCTCACAGCTCAGACACTGCGTTTAGGGTTTAGGGTTTAGAGTCTCTCTCATCCCCAAAGCCACCCAAAATCATTTTTACGGTTTAGGGTTTAGGGCTTAGGGGTCACCAAACTACCGAGACTCCATACTATGAACACATCATACGATAGCATACCAAGGCACCTCTTCTTACTAAAGCCCCTGTTATTGCTCCGTGGTCCTGCAAGAGGCAGCCAGAGGCCCCACCAACCTCGACTCTAGGCGAAGATTCGAGGTTTCGGGTTTAGGGTGTGGATTTCAAGCTTCAGGAGTACTCTAAGACTACCCTAAGTCCAGGACCCTGAAACCTTGCATGTTGATTCGCTGTCTTCTCACAGTTCTCCTGGCAGGTTTGAGACATCATCTGCCGGGTTTAGACTACCTTTCTTGCAGTACGATCTCGGGCCTGGTGTCTTACTAGGGCCTAGGGTGTCTTGCTTGACTGCTTCAGAATTCGTCATTGCCCTCCTATGTTCGAAGTCTTCAATGCTTGTCGGGATACCCTTTGCCCTGAACACCGAAGTCCCTTCCTCAGGGTGCCGGTGACTTATTCGCAAGCTACGCAGGGAAATTGGAGACTTTACGGCTTGTTGGACAGAAGGCAAGAACAAAAGGCACGAAGCAAATTGTACTAATTGCACCTTTGACTTAAGCACGTATCCCCAAACCCCTAAACCATACATTGGACCTGAACCCTACACCCCCTAAAACCCAAGCCCAAAAGGAAAAAAGTAGCCAAAGGTGCATGGCCAGCCCTCTGTTCGCGGCCTCCCCCTGCACAGCTCAGCGCCGTACGGGGACGCCCCCCGCTCCGAATGCTTTCGAGGAGGTGTGGGTGTTTTCTTTCGGGTTTAGGGTTTAGGGTCAAGGGTTCAGGGTTAAGGGTTTCGGATTAAGGGTTCAGGGTTAAGGGTTTCGGATTAAGGGTTTAGGGT